CAAAAAAAAAAAAAAAAAGAAAAAAATATTATTTCATGTAATAGAAAAAGTCTAGAACTAATTCGGCTTCGGGGTGAGTTGATTCCAGACCTCACCAAGAACACAGGCCAGGCTTTTGCCACCTCTGTTGTGCCATCCTCTGTGGTGGCAGCTCCAGATGCGACATCTGTATGGAGTTACTGGATTAGACCATTCACATGGGGTGGGATGAATGTCAGAAGGGTCAACTGTGATGTCCCCACGTCATCAGTGCACAAGCAGCTCTGCTTCAGGACCTCTCTGGAAAACATTCCAGAAAGGAACTGTCCGTCCTGCGTTGCCACAGACCACTGTCCAGTTCAGGAAACCTGAGGGATCCAGGGTTATCAGTCCCATCAATGGTGGCAGCACTGGACGTACCAGCAGAGTTAACAGGGTGATGGTGGTTCTTAGACCCAGGAGAAGCTGCAGTGCACCTTCACAAAGCCTGGGAGCCAGCCAAGGTCCCCACAGTAGCCATCACTGGAGGGGGTAGCATCACTGGTGAGTGGGAGAGGAAGGTAGAGTAGCAGTTGGCACTTGACGCCCAGGACTTGTTTGTCAGCACACCTAAAATGCCCTGAGGAACTACAGAAATAACTGGGCTTCCTGCAGGTGGCTGGCATCCGAGCATAACGGATGGGCGGGGTGAGCTGGTGAAGCCTGGCTCTTTCTGCCAATTGATCCTGTTGCCCCCAGACACTGGTTACTTGAGCAATGCCTGGGAGAGCTGGGTGCGACAGCCCCACCATGAGGCTCTCCCCTAGCTCTGTCCCCTCCCTGGAGTGGGGAGGGGTATTACAGCTTAGACACACGGTCAGGGGAAGCCTGGACCAAACTCTTCCCTCTGTGTGTGCCAGTGATCACCTAACGTTAATGCTGGCTGTTCCTGGGTAGTCAGATGAGATTGGGAGACTTTTTTTCCTTTCCTTTCCCTTGCCTTTCCCCCTCCTCATTTCTTTTCTCTTCCCTTCCCCCCCTCCTTTTTTTTTTATTTTCTATGCTGCTAATTTTTTTTTTTTTTGAGTCTCACTCTGTCATCCAGGCTGGAATGCAGTGGCACACTCACAACCACTCCAGTGTTGATCTGCTGGGCTCCGGCGATCCTTCCGCCTCAGCCTTCCAAGTAGCTGGAACTACAGGTGTGCACTACCACGCCCGGCTAATTTTTTTGAATTATTGTAGAGATGAGGTCTCGCCAAGTTGCCCAGGCGGTTCTCGAACCCGCAGTCTCAGGCAATCCAATCACCTGAGCCTCTCAAAGCGTGGGATTACAGGCTGAGCCACCGAGCCTGACTAATAAAACATTTTTTAAAAGGCAGTGGTACAGACTGGGTATAGTGGTTCACACCTGTAATCCCAGCACACTGGGAGGCCGAGGCAAGAGTGTTACTTGAGCCCAGGAGTTTGAGATTAGCCTGGGCAACATAGCAAGACCCCATCTCTACCAAAAAAAATTTAAAAATTAGCCAGGCATGTGCCTGTAGTCTCAGCTCTGTAGTCTGGGCGACAGAGTGAGACTCCAACTCAAAAAAAAAAATGTTTTATTGAATGTTTTGAATAGTAATTATATCTCATGGTTCAAGACTAAAAAATACATTTAAAAAATAATCAGTGAAGAATCTTCTTTATATCTCTACCTGCCCAGTTTTCCCTTGGCCCTCCTCTCTTTAATTATAATATGTTTTGGATTATCCTATAACAATTTGTGTATACTTGTAGAGTTTCTTTATACATATGCAAACAGGTGAAAAAATATTTTTATTTTCTCCGCCTTTTTTGCATATACATACTTCTCTGTACCTTACTTTTTTTTACCTTACAATGTATCTTGGAGAGCTTTATCAGTATAGCGAACAGTCTCATTTTTTTTGTACAGCTGTCCTTTATGATAGGACATAATAATACCACAGTTTATATATATAATTTAATTATATATATAATTTTATTTTAAAGATGTGGGGTACAATTCAGGGTTAGGTATACAAATGTTCATTCTGCAGGTAGCCTTGTTGATGAAGTGTGCCCCTCCCTCCCCTGACAGTTTCCCTCAAATGCCAATCCTACCCCCACACCCGGCAGTTTCCCCCTACTGCCAATCCCTTTCTTTCTTTTTTTTTTTTAGTTGGAATCTCACTCTGTTGCCCAGACTGGAGTGCAGTGGCCGCTCCCGGCCACCGCAGCCTCGACCTGCTGGGCTCCGGCGATCCTTCCGCCTCAGCCTTCCAGGAAGCCGGAATTACAGGCATGCGCTACCACGCCCGGCTGATTTTTTGATTTATTGTAGAGATGAGGTCTCACTGCCCAGACGGGTCTCGAACCCGCGGGCTCAGGCAATCCACTCACCTCAACTTCCCAAAGGCGCGGGATTACAGACTGAGCCTCGAGCCTGGCTTGTGTTGTTTTTTAAAGACATGTTTGCGATTTTGTGTGTGAATTCTAACAGTTATAAGCTGCTATTCCCAGTGTAACCAGATCTGGCTTGATCATGCATTTATCATCATTGATGTTGGGAGCAATGACACACCACTGTTCTAAATGTTTTTTCCTGAAGTCTAAGAACTGACTTTGATTGAGCTAATTGGCATTCTAACTCCACTGCACTTAATCTGTAATTGCTGCCTAAGGAATTCTGGACTAGATAAATAATAGAGTCAGATACAATTTAGCTTTCTGTTATTTGAAGAGGGTCAAATAGGTGGTTGATTTTTTTCGAAGTATTGATGTAGTATTAGCTTTATATTTAAAATTACATAGAGACTACCTTCTAAAAGTTTGTAATTAATAGGAAATTTTGTTTTATTATAGAACATCAGCACTATTCATTTAGTTCATGGTCTTATATTTGGTTTATCAAGGGTAACATACAAGTTAAAGACGTAAGAGGGTAAGGTCTTGGTCAAGAACATTGTGTGCTTTTCTAAGAAGTCATCCTGGAAGCCATAGGGAACACTTGAAGGATTTTGAAGTGGTTTACGGTGTCTTCTGGGGGTTTCCTGGCAATCTTTGGCATTCCTAGGCTTGTAGAAGCACTGCTTTGATCTCTGCCTTTACCTTCACATGGCATTGTCTCTGTGTACATGTCTGTATCCAAATTCCTCCTGTTTATAAGGGCACCAATCATATTGGATTAGGGGTCTACCCTGCTCTTGTATGACCTCATCCTAATCCTAACTTAACTAATTATATTTTCAGTGACAAATAAGGTCATATTCTAGGCTACTGAGGATTAGGATTTCAACTTATGAATTTTTGGGGGCACAATTCAACTCATGTCCTAGGCTACATAAAAATATAATTTAGATTAGTTTCACATTTAAAATTTTTTGTGTGCGTGGCTACTGGAAACTTTAGGATTACATATGTGGCTCATATCTCTATAGAACGGTGCTTTTTTTAAACAACAGCTAACACTAATCAGGCACTTGGTAGATACAGCACTACTCTATGTTACTTACAAGTGTTAAATCATTTATTCCTTAGAACAACCCTATTGAATTTACCTCTCATTATTGAGGGTAGAAAAAAGTCCATCCAAGGTCGCATAGGCAGTAAATAGCAGAGTTAGGATGTGAACACAGGTATCCTGAGTCCTGAATGTGCATTTTTATGAAGAAATTACTATATTTTGTCAGTCAGAGGAACTTTGAAAATATTATTTCATCATATAACTTGGCATCAGACACATCTCTCCTAATCTTCCTTCTTCATTTTCAGTTGTCTTTGGTCTCTGGGTCAATTTTTCTTGATAGTTTTTTACCTCTAGCATCCGCGTCTTTTACTAATCAATATCTTTAATTTTCCTGTTACTCTATATATGTTTTCTTATGTGTTTTACGTACTTATATGCTTTTTACAGCATAGAAATATACTTTTGCTATTTTAACTTGTCTTTTGTTTTAAAACCTTGCTAGCTATTATTTAAAAACAGAAATCTGCTTTTGTGGAATTACTTTAAGCAAAATAACACATAGTATACTTTAAAATAGTATTTATTTATGTGACTATACACAGACACTCTTTGAAAGGGTCATGGTAAAAACCATTGGAATGAACTGTGACAAATTTAAAATATACTGCTTATTAAGGTAATAATGGGTTACGTCTTTCATGTAATATGAGAAAGATATTTTAAACCAATGTTTTTGAACCATAATGGATTCAAATTATTGATGTTCAATGAAATATCAGATTTTATATTCATCAAGCAGTTTATATGGATGGAAGAATTTAAGAAACTTTGCTTTCTTTTCCTGGTTTTGCCACTTGTATGTGATGTTTTCCTTGTATAGACAAAAGGAATCAAGATAAATTGAGTGGCGGCTAAGCCTAGAGGAAATGTTTTCAACAGGTACTTCAGGGACTCAGGTTTTTTTCCTCTGACTTGAATTAAATATCCCATATTTTTCTACTTTTTTTATAGTGCCTTTGGTGGGGGGAGAGTCAGAATCTCACTCTGTCACCCAGGCTGGAGTGCAGTGTCTTGATTGTGGCCACCAGAACCTTGACCTGCTGGGCTCAGGCAATCCTTCTGCCCCAGCCTTACAAGTAGCCAGAACGACAGGCACACCACCACACCTGGCTAATTTATTTAATTATTTATTGTAAAGATGAGGTCTTGCCAAGTTTTCCTGACTGGTCTCAAACCCCTGGGCTCAGGCAGTCCACTCCTATCTGCTTCCCAAAGTGTTGGGATTACTTACAGGTATGAGCCACTGCGCCTGACTAGTGTCATCTTTGACCTTGTTTTTTTTTTTTATCTTGACTTTGAAACCTGTACTTTATTTCACCCTTATTGCCCCCAATTTTATTCATTGAATTTGGCTTCTGAGTTTCTCATGTGGACACAGTAGTTTGGGCTTGACTTTCATCAAGCTTTTTCTGGTGATTATTTTATTCCTTTATGCCATGAGCTTGACACACAAAATAGTTAAAACTATTTTTATGAGTGTAGTTCAGTAGAAAGACCCAGACACTGCCCCTCTTCCCGACGGTGGAATCCTTAAATCCCTTTGTTCCTGGCTACTTCTTGAGAATTTATGACAAAATTAGAATATATTCTAAATCATCTTAGAAATTGGTATAAGATAGTGTGAGGCCATTTTGGTAAAGCGTTTTCTTATACTGTTGTGTTTACATACAGCTGAAACTTTTTCATGAAAAATGAAGTCTAGTCAATCCTCCACATCTATTTTTTACTTATCTGTGGAACACCTATGCTGTCCTGTATGCCATTGCTTCTCAAACTTTAGCAAGCAAGAAAAAAGAAATCACTCAGAGAACTTGCTGTAATACAGACATCTGGATGAGATTCTGATTAAGCACATCTGTGGAGCCTGCAAATTTGCACTTCTAACAAGCTCCCTGATGATGCTGA